AAGGTGAGAGAAAATGCTAATGGGTCATGATGGCCATATTTGCTTCTGATCTGATGTTTCACAAAGACATATTCAAAGTTTGATGTCTTTTCACTTGTTTTTTTTCATAGCTTTCTCACAGCTGGGGCCAGACTCTTGGGTCCCTGACTGTCCTTCTGAGGGAGGTGCTGTCAGAGTCAGGCTTGGTGCTGGACCAATGGTTCAGTCTGGATGGAGCACTGCCAGAGAGTCAGATACTGCTGAGAGTCACTCTCAAGGTACCACAGAAACGTCTTTCTTAGCTGCTCTGATCTTAAAAGCAACCTGTGCAACCTATTAGGAACTAAACAGGTTGCTAGTTATACGATAGCGATTTGTGTGGATTGATTTAATTATTGAAGAATTTGGAGAACAGCCAAAGCCTGCGCTTTTCTGCTCAGAGAAACTAAGCAGGGTTAGCAGTGGTTTGTACGTGGGAAACCACAACTGAACACCATTTGCTATAAACCTTTTAGAGCTTGAGGAACTCTTGCGCTTCCTCTTCCCTTTTACTTTCCACTGTTATACCCGAAAGGATAACTCTGTTCTATTTCAAAATTGCACTAAGAATATTGGCCCTATCCGAAGAATTAATTGTTGTCACGTAATCAATATTAATTGGCCTCACAGATGCTTACGTGACAATGCAGCTAAAATATGGAGAATTGTTTTGTGAAGATTACTGCACACTTAAAGAACTCTTGATGCTGGGCACAGATTTGTTTTTATAGTTCATGTCAAACTGTGACTTTTGAAAGTAGAACTAGGTTCAGCACAACACTGGAGCCACACTGGTGGAAATCTGTTGCAAATGACTTTGAATTTTGTTTTTATTCACAGTTTACACTCAGTTGCAGTTGTTTGAGTACCACGGTAAATGCTTCTTGTGTTCGCTATCTGTGTCATGGTTAGCCCCTTCTTGACGTAGCACCAGCAGTGTATTATTTGTCTAATAACAGTCTTCCTGTAAATACCCCCAACGTAATGAATGTGATTACAGAGCTATGCGTTGGAGCCTGATTATCTATTTTCCCGCTTATAGCTAATGTCTTACAACTAATGTCCTTTATAAATATAGCTTACTGTCAAAGGCATTGAGTCATCCCTGCAAATACCTGAAATCAAATATTTCAGTCACTTCAGGGGACACAGGTGGATAAATTCCAGCATTTATGTTGACTGCTGCTATACGTATTTGTCAAGGAACAGATAGCTCTCAAATATCAACTAAGCATTCCACTTAGTTTGTGGCGTTGCAAGGAAGGGAAGCAATTGGAAAGCAGCTCAGTCATGAAGTGGTAGTCTATGTAAAAAGAGTGGAGTCAGAAGATACTGAGTCAGTAGCTACAGACCTCCAAGCGTCATGCGGCCTTCAGATTGGCTCAAAAACGGCGTCTGTAGCAGTTTTTCCCAACCCTGGTCCTCAAACCACACCAACCTGCATGTTAGATGTTCCTCTGCTTCAACAGACCCTATTCAGATGATTGCAATTCAGCAAAACCCTGTCAATCAGCCGTCAATTTACATCATGTGTGCTGAAGCAGGGAAATGCCTAAGGACAGTGTGTCTTGAGGACCAGGGTTGAAAAACTCTGTAGAGCTTCATGGAATGGGTTTCCATGGCCTGGTAGCTAGAAGCAAGACTTGTATCACCAAGTGCAACACAAAGCAACAGAAGTGATGATGTAAAGGACGCTGTCAAAGGACATAGGGCAGTGGCGACGTAGTCTCACTGATTGAATCCAGTTGTCAGAAGAACACCACTTGCTTGACTGCATTGTATCAGGTGAAATCAATTAGAGCGTCTCAGCATAGAAACAGGCAGCTGTGGAATAGTTGTGGGACGTCCCGGTTCCTGCTCCAACATGAATGTGCAACAGTGCACACAGTCAGCTCATTAAAGATCAGTGAGCTTGGTGTGGAAGAACTCAACTGATCTTGACCCCTCCGAACATTTTGTTTATTGATTAAGAGTGGGATGTCTCTCAGTGTATCGGATGTATGTGTGTGGAGGGAGATGAGTGGATACTTTTGGCAACATGGTGTAGTTTGTAGATTTATTAGGACCCATCGCAGAATCCCTGCCATTAAGTATAGATACTAAATTTGTTTTCCTTTTCTTAGAAATTCCCCTAGTGCACAATTCTTTTTATGTGTAGCTAACTATAAAATCTTCACATTTTAAATAAAGTGGAATGTATATGTGGATGGATCTCAATCTGATTGGGTTTAGGCTGAATTGTACTCCATAGGATTGGATAAAAATTGGACCTGTTTTTTTATTGTAAAGTGCATTTGGGTGACATTGTCTGACAGTTAGTGTCTTTTTAAATAAACTCAATTGAACAAAACTTGAAGCTTGATTTTTTTTCCTTATGATTATTTTGCAGATATTGGACACCCAATTAGCAGTCTGTCGTGGCACACCTGGAGCAGCTGGAGAAGGAGGTGTAGAGCAATTCATGCCCAGATGGGATCCTTCCCATCTTGACCTGAAGCACAGAAGTGGATTTGCCATGTACGTCAAACATAGTTTTTCTCTTCATATTTGTCCCAAACCTGGCTTGAAGACGGTGTTTTTCATAACTTAGACACAGGACTGTGTAACATGCACAGCATGTTTGCTTTCTTAAAAAATGCTTAGCAGAAATGATGGATTTGTGTCTTTTTGTCCACAGCGTCGCGGATAACGGAAACTCAGCCGGCCAAGTGAAGCTCACCATCGGCTACTCTGCAGACGAAAACAGGCTTTTCATCATTGTTCACTCCTGCAGGTTTTATACCATTTTATTAACTTTTTTATCAGATTTCTCCTTTGGAAGAGCTAGTTGCAGAAAAGAATGGGATCTCTGTACATCCGCAGAGCCCTGGCAGCCTGCTCCAAGGACGGTGCCGACCCGTACGTTTCTTTTGTCCTGCTGCCTGACAAGAAGGCCACAACCAAGAGACGAACCACCACAAAGAAGAGGGACCTCAACCCAGAGTTCAATGAGAGGTGAGACAAATGGCAAAAAGAAAAAAAAAATAATGGTGGTACAGCTAGAAGTGACATTTGCATTCTATCGCTGTCACTCTTGCAGGTTTGACTTTGATTTTACTCTGGAGGAGTCAATGCAGAAAAGACTGGATTTATCTGTGAAGCACAGTGGCTCCTTCATGAGCCGAGAGAAGGAGCTCATTGGCAAGGTACTTTTGATCAGCTCGCATTCAGAACTGCAGTTTGGTATAAGTTCTTTTTACTTTTACCAACATGATTATTTTTGCTTTTTCCCCTCCCCTCAGTTACAGGTGGATTTGGACCAAATTGATCTCAAGGCTGGTGTCACACAATGGTAAAAAAAAGACAGATGTTTTACTAGTAATTTAAACATAATAACAAATGTATTCATATAACTAATAATGTATTATTTAAGTTAACAAATGTTGCATAAAATCACTTGTGTTGCTTCTGGGAATATAAACTTGCATTTTCCTTTTTCTTTTTTTCAGGTATGATCTAGTAGCAGAAAGCACCTAGAAGAATCCAGTTTCTGGTACAATTTAACATAAGCCTTGTGTTGCTTCTGTGCTCTGTGATTTGTGCATTTGTAATTCAGCTTAAATGAAATATTACACCGTCACTGCAACAAAAAAGAAAACATTTGTGTCACGGAAACACAAACCATCAGTATTTATTGGAAGAAAAATGACACAGAGCTCATTACTCTCAAGCCATTGAATTTACAGAATCTTTTCTGCATGAGCAGATAATTTCACCTGTTGGATATTTGACAAAGATGCAACCGTGTTGCATGACAAACCTGTGGTATATGTGCTTTAGGACATGCACCCATGCTCTTTGCGTTTATTTTTTTATTTTTTTCAAATGCCTTAAGCTGTGGCAAAACTGTGTCGTTGATTTACAATTTTCAACACAACGGAGAATGTTCCTTAAATGTTATATTTTTCAGTCTTAAAGTTATTCCAAATATTACTTTGTTTATGTATGTTTATATTATTGCCTTAAGTATTACAAAACTGTGCACAATTTGTCTGTGTTTATGTGTTTAACATGAAGTTTTATATGTCCTATATGTGACTTTTCTAAAGCAGAGTATTACAAACCTTTACGTTCTCTCCTAAAACAAAGGTGCAATGCTGTAAGCTGAGTCTAAATCACTGTGCTTTTAGAAAGACCAACCTTTACAGAGTGGTGGTGTTACAGCAACCAATGCTTCTTTGTGTGTAAGTGTTTGGTGTATCGATGCTTTCAGTGAAACTAGAATTTTTCAAGCTGCGCAAATAAAGACCATGCTAATGTTCACCACTGTTTATAAATGACACAAAGAGGTAATTTGTGGAGCAGGAAAGAAAATTATTGTACTATCTCTGAACTGTGCAGCTGTGCTCCAGCTAGCATACTTGGAACATATCGTTGTGCATTTGCTAAATTTGTTGATTAAAGTTTGCACTCATGAATCAAAGCCCTTCAGTTCTTTTTTTTCCAACTCAGAACACATTAATATGCTTTATAAAACTGTTAATAGGGAACAAATTGTTTGCATTTGTCCTAAAATTAAATTACACACAGTGGGGAATGTTTATTTTCTTTTAGGTGATTAAAACAATTAGGTACACTATTTAAGGTTATCAAAGTGAACTGATACATTATAAAATATTTTTGAAAACCATGTACCGTTTTCTTGCATTTTCACAAACCGAAAAATTGTCGAAGTAATGAGGAAATTAAATAAAAATATATTTGGTTTGTTTTCGTGCCATACTCCTGCTTGGCCACAAGATGGCAGCGAAGTGCTGGTAGACCTTTAACTTCTACATCCAGCTGCACTTTCAACGGCTGGGCGTCAAGTGCCTACAGATGTGAAAACGATTGAATGACTGACGCCTCTCCAGCCAATGGGAGCAAGAGTAGTCTCTGCGGGGGCGGGGAAAACAAGAAACCCAGCCCTCTGAGTGGATGCGACGCGAACAGCTTAATCAGGATCACACAACAATAATGAATGGAAACGCAGCGTAGCCAAGAAAAGTTGAGCAGCTTGAAAAACTTACTGTCGGCCAGTAAAGGACACTTTATCTACCGCTTTGAGGAAGGAGTTGCTTTTTTGGAGTGATGGATTGGCCGGTTGAATCTGATATTTCACTTTGGAAAAGAAAGCTGCGTTTTTGTGGGAAGTTTTGAATTGTTTTTTGTTGTTTTTTATCGCTAGCTTGATTAACGGTAAATGGCACTTATTGGGACAGTGATAGGAAACTACCGCGTTGTGAGTCGAGTTTTACTCGCGAAAGAAGTGGATTATGTGGAGAAAGCCGTAAAGAAAGCTGGAGAATTTGGGGGAAATATTTAGCCTCACTGTGGATTATCACCAACGGAGAGATAAAAAGAAGAAGAAAGCTGAGAAGTTTGGACGTTTCACGTTGACAGGAGGGTAAAATGGGTAACGTGGAGAGTGTTGACGGCCAGTCGGAGATGAAGCATCACATCATGCCTCTGAAGGTACCCATGCCTGACCCCACCGAGCTGGAGGAGAAGTTTGCCATTGTTTTGGTAAGTCAGAATGAACACGGGCTATTTATTTTTCTATATCGTACGGTCTTCCCTAGTTATTATTTTGACTACATCTGCTGAGCCACTCCTCGCTCGCAGTGTGTGAGTGGTGCATCCTTTAGAAGTTAATCATTGCGGATTTCTTAACTAGCTTAAAGTGTGTTTGTGTTTACGCATCAGCGTCTTTATGGCCCATCATTAAATGAACAGACTTGTGCTGTCCCGCCCCTCACTTTTTGCCTGCTGCCCCCACCTTCCCCTCCTTTTCCTCTCCTGCGGTTCTTTTGTCTCCCCCCCCCAAAAAAAAGTCAGAAAACGGAGCCTTGTAGCTGAAACGGCAACTGCAGCCCGCTGGGAGCAGGCTGAGGGACATTCTCAACACTGCGAGCAGAGGGGGGGGGGGGGGATTTCTGGAAATCCTTGATGGAGAACATCAAGGCCTTTGTTTGGTTTAGTTTTCTCGCTGAAGGCAGGCAAAGCATCTGAGAGCAACATTTTCTGAATTCCCCCAAAACTCCCACACCCGAGGAGTTTCTCCCCTCCCCTTTTTCCTCCTTCACTCCACATCAGGCTGCTGCTGCTGCCTCCTCTGAGTGCTTTCTTATAATTATCACACACATACTCAGAAGCCACTTCTATCACTTTTCAACACAGTGAGGGTGACAGATTGAGACAGTCACATTAGGCCAAAGAAACGACACTGTCCGGGGCTTTTACTCGTCTGATCTTTATTACTCATTATAGAAGGGAGTTTTGAAAGCTTGATATCTCACGGCTTTGTGTTTCCTCATCTGTATGGGGCAATTGGGTTAGCAACTGCTACGGCTAGACATTTTTGTCTGAAATGTTCTGTGGGAATTGCACTTGCAACTTTTGTATTTGAACTTAAAACGGTCAGTGGGAGTTTTTTCGGGGATAAAACCCCCGATGCTTTTAGCTGCAACATCCACGTTCAGCCATGATTTTTTTTTTTTTTGCCTTTTCTGTTAGTTCCTTTTATTCTGAACTTGAGTCATCTTATTCAGATTATGAAAGTAAAATTAATATCGGTCTTGGTGTTAAAAGCTTATTTTTATAAATAGTATTTGGCTGCTTAATTCATTGCTTTTATTTATTTTCTGATCTTGTGTGTGGGGGGGGGAAAGCAGTCTTTTTTTTCCCCCAACTCCTCTTCAAACAGGTGGGTTGAAGTCATTTATTCAAGCGTTTGTGTCACAAGAGTTAAAGCTGGCTCGCGTGACAATCGTCTTCAAGCATCATTGTCTGCCTGGAAAGTCAGTAAGCAGTCATACTGAAACACTCGAGAATAGACCATTTAAATCTGTCATTTTGGGTCGTTTTAATAAATTGCCCTTGACTCACTGACAAAACAACAACACTTTAACTTTTTTCTTTACTTTTTTTTTTTTTTAAAGATTTAATTGGCTCTAGTAGCCTTTATTTGAGATTGGTTGAACAGGAAGGTGGATAATGAGAGAGAGAAAGGGAAGACATGTGACAAGGGTCATCAGGCCAGGACTCGAACCTGTGACGACCGCATCGAGGGCGAAGGCCTCCATATTTGGGTTGTGCTTTACCCCTGTGTCAACACAGCGTCTTTGCAAAAAAAAAAAACCCAAAACGACAACAAAAAAAAAAAAGCCTCCAATGAGTTGATGCTTTTTTTCCCCCCGTCCTTTGCTTTTGAATCTCGGAAACAGATCTTCATGTGGTCTTCTGTTGTCCAGTAGGATGTCGTTGTCAAACCACATTGTTCCCAGACCTATGATTAACCTGTATTCTAGGACTTTTTTTTGTTTTTCCTTCCAGACACAAACCTTAACAATATAAGTTTACAGTTCCAGTGTCTTCCCCATGCAGAGACAACACCCCCCTCCCCGCCGGGTGTTTATTTGTCATATGTAACGTGGCAATTTTTCTTTTTCTCAACTGCTCATTTCAGGCTCCTCGTTCACTCCGGCCACGCCTCGCACTTTGCTCTCGCATTTTTAAGAGTTTAATTAGAACTGCAGGCGGCGAAAAACTTCCCTCGTTTAAATCATGTAGCGTCGCTGCAGAACACTCGCAGACCCGCCACGAGTTTGGGCAAAAGCCACGGTTATCGGCAGCCTCTGAATCAAACCCTCCGCAGCAAGAAGTCAGTCAGTCAGTCAGTCGCTGAGTCTCAGCAGTAAGATAATTATAGACCGCACTGTACACTATTACAACATCTTAGATCTCGTGCTCCACATGCTGATTACTCCTGTGAGAGGGTTGGACGTTTTACAGTGAGACAGTTTTAACGCGTCGTAGTTCAACAGTTTTTCTGCGAGGTGCATTTCCCTCGGAGAAAGCCTGGAAGTGGCTTCATCGACACGCGTCCTGCCTGAAGCAAGAGCAGCCATGTAGCCGTCTGGCTTCCCTGCAGCACAAAGACGATCTCTGTCATTATGTTCAGCCGTGCGGAGCGGCGGATGATTTCTGCGCGCGAGTCGGTAGACTCAACATTTCAGCTCTGAGCTGAGAGTGGGGAAATGCTCTTCAGCCTCCAGAACCCCGCCCCGCTTTATCCCTGTAATAGCTCCAGATTTCCTTTACTTTGTGGGAAAGAGCAACATGGCTGTATGTTTTTAGCCCTTATCAGACAATGGTCCTCTCTCCCTGCCCTGTTCACGTACTGTTTGGAGATAAATGTGCATCACAAGTCATCAGATCTCATCAGGAGGACGTGATGATGGGCTTTTCTTAATGTTGGTGGCGGTAGATCGTCCCACTAATGGTCCATTTAAAATGTCTAACTGGGATATAGAAGTGTCTCAAAAAGCTTCGGGAGCAATAAAGCTTCAGAGTCTCTGGGTTTGGACTGGGCCATTCCAACGCCTAAATATGCTTTGTTCTAAATTGTTCCTTTGTGGCTCTGTAGCTGTTCTGCTTGTGAAATCTGACTAGACCTGATAAAATAAAATTATCTCAATTATTTCCATTTGCATGATTTGCTGTTTTCCTGTTTTCTCTCTCTCTTTCTACCCAAGCTGGTGTACATTTTGGTGCTTTGGTCTCAACTAACCTCTTTTTTTTTTTAAAGACAGTTTTGTTTACAAAGATTTCGTAATTCATTTTAATTGTTGGTTCTGTTGTTCTGTTTTATTGTGGATATTTTAAATGTCTTCCAGTTCCAGTGTCAAACATTCATTAGAATTTAAAGGTTATGAATCTTTGAGAACACGTTCTGGCATTATTGTGCCATTACCGTAGTATTACTTGAAAATGGCCTCAAAACTACAATATTATCATTTATCGGGGACAGTTTACCGTCCGGCAGTTTATCGTGACGGGTCTACGTCTGACCCGGTCTGATGTCGAACGTAACGTCCAACTGGTTTCCCTCCAGGATCGTCCTGGACTGTTCTGCGTCTGTCTATCGATTAGCTCTGACCGCCTTCATTCAACAATGGCCGCTTGTTGCCACCTCTCCATAAAGGCCGGTGTTGTGAAGCCTCGACCCGAGCCACGGGTCTCCTCCAGAGTTAACCTCTTGGCCGCTTCACTCAGACATCTGTGTTTCTAACTGTCGGTGCAAACAGATGAGTCCTCTCTCTCGGGCACTGCGCCCGCCCGGCATCACTGGACTGACAGCAGCCCCTGATGATGTCATGGCTGCAGCAGCCATTCCCCGGCGTAGTAATATCCCCGCTCTAATGACTTTAGCAGGGTCGCTCAGGAGTGGAGGAGGGGCGGGACCCCTGAGTTAGCATATATGACTACTTCATGTGGTGTGCTAATAAAATGCTTTGGTTTGCTCTAAACAGCAACATGTGCTAAAGGCATCGACTTGCTCCTTCTCCTCTCTTTTGTGCTACCTCGGCTTGTGGCTGGAAAAAGGAATTTTTCTCATTTTACAGGGGAAATTGTTTCTATCATTGTGGTTTGTTCACTGGGTAATAAGAACCGTGCTGCTGCTGCTTCCTGCTAATGTAAAGCTGATCTTCACCGAGCTTTAGATGACTACCTTGATCCCGCTGACAGATTCCCTTCTTTCAACTAAATTCTGAAGTTGTAGCCTCACCTCAGTAATGTTTATTTTCCCCAACTTCACCTTTACTGGACTTCTACCACAATTATAACTTTCCCCATATGATCGTGTCTTATGAAAGTGATGCGAGATGAGAGACGAACATGAATCCTGCGTCTCGGTTTCAGCTGAAGGTCGGAGGAGAGAACTCGAGAGGGAAGATTTCCCTTCAACTGGTGCTTTTTTCTTTTTTTTTTTTTTCCCTTTCTGTTCCCGGTCAGAATGACTTCACCAACAGCACACATATATTTAGGAGCAGCACTGCTTATTTTATTTTGCCCCTCCATTGCACTGCAAACCAACCTAAATGATTTGTCTGACTCTGCTCCGTCTCCTGAACTCTGTCACCGAGTTTCATCATGCAGCTCTGTGGTGTTGACTGCTTTTTTTTTTTTTTCTGCAGAGTTTTTTGATTGTGGGAAAACTACCGAAAGAAGAGATTATGTCAGCCGTGTCAGATATGCTGACAGTGTGACTCTTGCTCTGTCTGACGACACCGATTCTTTATGGCTCAAGTCTGAGGGGAATCGAGCCGCCTCTCAAGTGGAACTAATACGTTTAAGCTGCACGAAAAAAAAAAAAAAAAAGCAGCATAAATCCAAAATAATTTTCATTTGCCAAACAGTGGTTGCGGTTTGTGCCTGATATGACTCGGCCTGGGTTTTGGAGTAAAATGGGAATGTTTCTCCCATGACTAAGACATATTTTGTGTGCGGCATTTCGCAAAAGTATCTTGCCCGTCTTCAGTTTTATTTTTATTTTTTTTTTCATGACGCAACAAACTTTTTTGTTTGTTGGGATTTTATATCAGAGACGAACATAAAGTGCAGCAGAGTTGTGAAGTGAAGAGGAATTTACATGTATAAAATGTGTTCTATGTATTTGTTCCAGCCCCTCTTTTTCAAGTACTTTGGAACCAACTTTCTTGATTTCAAACTAAAATGCATTT